CCCCCACCTCCTGCACCTCCTCCACCCCCTCCTGCACCTCCCCTCCCCTCCTCCTGCCCCCCACTCCTGCCCTCCCCTCCACCCCCTCCTGCCCCCTCCCCACCCCTACTCTGCACCTCTCCACCCCCCTCCTGCCCCTCCCCCCCCTCCTGCCCCCCCCCTCCTGCACCTCCCCTTCCCCTCCTGCACCCCTCCTCCACCCCCCCCTCTGCCCCTCCCCTCCCTCCTCCTGCCCCCCCCCTCCTGCACCTCCTCCACCCCTCCTGCCCTCCTCCACCCCCCACTCCTGCCCCACCCCCTACCCCCCCCTCAAGCCGCGTCTCCCTTATCTCGTTATCGCAGAAAAACAATAAAACGCAATAAAAATATCAATCTTCCTCAAATATGAAAATCTGTGAGTTTATTATTGGGTGTTGTGGTTTTTACTTGTTTTTATAATAGTATTTTCTGCCGTCAACCAAACACTGTCACACACACACACACACACACACTGCTCCACACCAAACACTGTCACACACACACACACACACACACACACACACACACTGCTCCACCAACCAAACACTGTCACACACACACACACACACCTCCTGTAAACACTGTCACACACACACACACACACACACACACTGCTCTCCACCAACAAACACTGTCACACACTGCTCCACCAACAAACACACACACACACACACACACACACACCTGCTCCACCAACCAAACACTGTCACACACACACACACACACACTGCTCCTGACCTGTCCAGTATTCATGCTAATATTTCTAATATTTTTGGGGATACAGAACCATTCATTTTACGAGATCATAAGTCAAATATTACCAAAATATATTTTAAACCTAAAGCTTAAAACAGTCTAATAAAAACATATAAAACTCAACCCCAAAAATCATTGCACCAAATTCCTTATAGAATAAATATTTTTTTTCAAGGTCAGATATTGTTGTCAAATTAAAATAGGTTCGTCTCACTTCCTTATATTTTGACCTATTGAGACATTATTTAACAAAGACACTTACAGATGACCTGCAGGAGATATTTAGGGTCAAGGTCACGGGTTATCTGGGGTCATATAACAGCCACATATATATTAGTGTCTTGAGTGAGTTATATTTGTTTTTAAAGTGGTTTTGTTTATTTATTACGAGTCAATATTTCCTGAGTGAATGTTATTAATGTTTAGTCAATTATATGTTACTTATATGAATACTTTTACTTATACTCCTATACTTGTGACTCTTATAGCGCCCCCAGGTAGTGGAAGGGTTGAGCCAGGTAACACACTACCTGTTGATGGCCAACAATCAGAATAATTACCTACCTGGCCACCTAACTAACACAACAAAGTTATATACATCATAACATACATATTAGTGTTATCTTTTGTTTATATATATACACTTTATATAACTGACAATCTTTGGTTTATATTCTTCCATATTTTTGCCGACGTCTGGTCACGAGATGGCGGACCAGACGGCGGACTCAACCTTAGGTATGGGAGACGCGCTTCCTCCGACATACTTTCCTTGCACCTCCCCGGCGCTGCTCCCCGGCACCTCCTCGCCCACTGCAGTATAGTACCCTGACATTCATACACACCTAAATATTTTATCAAGAGAAATTATCATGTTTGAGTAACTAACTAAACTACATAATAAAGGCGAGAATCATCGTTAGAGTGCTCGCTCGTTAAGTGATTCTGAGCCAAGAGGAGCGAACAGGCCAAAGAGAAGGACAATACGGTAGTTTACGTTGTCTTAATTAATTAATATAACTCATAATATTTAAGGTGTGTCTGTTCTCCTTCCTACCCAGAACAGTCGTTAACCCTCACGGAATATAAACAACACTTAAAATAACGATAATTAACTGAGGTCATTAATAGAGTAAATTAATTAATATTCTAAAATTCCCACAGAAAACGTGAAGTAGATCTGAACCACTACGGAGAGTTGTTGTTTGATCGACACAACCGGATATAAAGTGTATCTGTAAGGTCGGGTCCTGTTACAGTGATGATACTCTGTGTGTGTGTGTGGTATATATATGTGTGTGTGTGTGTGTGTGTGTGTGTGTGTGTGTGTGTGTGTGGTTGTGTGTGTGTGGGTGTGTGTGTGTGTGTGTGTGTGTGTGTGTGTGTGTTGTGTGTGTGTGTGTGTGTGTGTGTGTGTGTTGTGGTGTGTGTGTGTGTGTACATCTTCAGATACATACAGCACATATACAACCCCATATAAGATAATCCTGCTGCTGAGACAGGTGTGTGAGCAATATGTCCATAAACTATATATTAACCTGATCTAAAGTGACTGAGCTATACTTTTATTTTGTCTCATATGTGTCAAACACTTGTATTAATATTAACTTTTTTATCTTTGGGAAACGATGGAATTACAGGTGGGTGTGACTCCTTCCGTCTCCACCTCGCTGTTAACGATAGTGAGTGAGCGAACCTTCTCACAACAACGAGAGGTCATTAGGCGTCGACACTAACTAATGTCATATCGTCAGCCGCCCTTGACCCCCAACGATCGTTATTAATTATTATCTAGGAATTTTTTGTTGGTTCGATCTAATACGTCACCAGGATGAGTGAGGGGACCATCCGACCCAGCCCACACCACCACCAGCCCCACCACCAACCTTACAGCCCCACACCACCAACCTACAGTCCCACCACCAACCTTACAGCCCCACCAACCTTACAGCCCACACCAACCTTGGCCCACACCACCAACCTTACAGCCCACCACCAACCTTCAGCCCACACCACAACCTTGGCCACACCACCAACCTTACAACCCACCAGCCTGGCCCCACCACCAACCTTGCCCACACCACCAGCCCACACACACCAGCCTTGCAGCCCACACCACCAACCTTCAGCCCACCACCAACCTCCCTCACACCACCAGCCTTGCACCACCAACCTTACAGCCCACACCACCAACCTTGGCCCACACCACCAACCCCTGTTACCACCAACCTTACACCGCCCATTCCACCAGCCTGTTACCACCAACCTTAGCCCCACACACCACCAACCTTGGCCCCACACCACCAACCACAGCCCACACCACCAACCTTACGCCCCACCACCAACCTTGCCCACCACCAACCACAGCCCACACCCCAACCTTACAGCCCCACACACCACCAACCTTACAGCCCCACACCACCAGCACCCCACAGCCCACACCTGTACAGCCCCACCACCAACCTGGCCCACACCACCAACCTTGCACACCACCAACCTTACAGCCCACCACCAACCTTACAGCCCCACCACCAACCTTACAGCCCACACCACCAACCTTGCAGCCCACCACCAACCTTGGCCCACCACCAACCTTACAGCCCACACCACCAACCTTACAGCCCACACCACCAACCTTACAGCCCCACACCACCAACCTTACAGCCCACACCCCAACCTTACATTACACCACCAACCTTGTACCACCACCAACACAACCCACCAACCTTCAGCCCACACCACCAACCTTACAGCCCACACCACCCACAGCCCACACCACCAACCTTGGCCACACCACCAACCTTACAGCCCACACCACCACCTTACAGCCCCCACCACCATCCTTACAGCCCCACCACCAACCTTACAGCCCCCACCAGTCCTTACCCCCACACCACCAACCTTACAGCCCCACACCACCAACCTTACAGCACACCACCAACTTACAGCCCCACACCACAACCTTACAGCCCACACCACCCTTACAGCCCCACACCACCAACCTTGGCCCACACACCAACCTTGCAGCCCCACACCACCAACCTTACAGCCCTTCCACAGCCCACACCACCAACCTTACAGCCCACACCACCAACCTTACAAGCCCAGTTTGTGTTCTATTTCGTTATATTTATGGTCACTTGCCATAATAGACACGTTTTATATAAAGTTTGGTGGAGCTTAATGAACAGCGCCATCTATCATCAGTAATTTATTCAATCTTAATATTTACATCTTGACTCTCTCTCTCTCTCTCTCTCTCTCTCCTGACACACACACACATACTTTCACCCCCACAAAAACTGGCCACAGTGTATCGCCACAACACCCAACTCCCCCACGAGAGACTCAGGAAAAAAAGACATTTCCTCAGTTGATAACGCGTGCTGATCTGTCCCTCTGCCCGGGAGGTCAAGTGACTCACACTGATGTATCGCTAACGTGATTATATCGTCTGTGTTATATGAGTCTTATAGGAAAGTCTTATTGGAGGAGTCTTATAATCTTATGGGAAGGATATTTGGGTCGTATATCCATATTTTGAAGTACAGTACTCCCACACACACACACGCACACACGCACACACACACACACACACACACACACACACACACACACACACACACACACACACACACACACACACACACACACACACACACACACACACACACACACCATATCTTCACCTGGATAAATTATTTTTGAGTGAAATTTTATTAAGTTTTTCGAATTTATGAAAAGTAACTTCACCAACATGTAAAAGTTTAGTTGTGACGTAAATGGTTTAGTTGTGACGTAAATGGTTTAGTTGTGACGTAAAGGTTTAGTTGTGACGTAAAGGTTTAGTTGTGACGTAAAGGTTTAGTTGTGACATGAGGTTTTAGTTGTGACGTAAAGGTTTTGTTGTGACGTAAAGGTTTAGTTGGCAGGTAAAAGGTTTAGTTGTAAAGTTTGGTTGACGTAGGTTTAGTTGTGACGTCAAAGGTTTAGTTGTGACGTAAAGGTTTAGTTGTGACGTAGAAGGTTTAGTATTGACGTAAAAGGTTTAGTTGTGACGTAAAAGGTTTAGTTGTGACGTCAAGGTTTAGTTGTGACGTAGAAGTATGTTAATATTAGGTTGAAGTAAAGGTTAAAGGTTAATTGCCACTGATGTTTACGTCCAGGTGAGTTAAACTTTCCATTTATTGACTTTGTATATTAATGTGGTAGAGGGAAGAGCTGACTGGTCCCTGTTGACTGGTCCCCTGTTGCCTGGTCCCCTGTTGTCTGGTCCCCTGTTGCCTGGTCCCTGTTGACTGGTCCCTGTTGACTGGTCCCTGTTGCCTGGTCCCCTGTTGTCTGGTCCCCTGTTGCCTGGTCCCTGTTGTCTGGTCCCTGTTGCCTGGTCCCTGTTGCTGGTCCCTGTTGCCTGTCCCCTGTTGCCTGGTCCCTGTTGACTGGTCCCTGTTGCCTGGTCCCCTGCCTGGTCCCCTGTTGTCTGGTCCCCTGTTGCCTGGTCCCCTGTTGCCTGGTCCCTGTTGCCTGGTCCCCTGTTGCTGGTCCCCTGTTGCCTGGTCCCCTGTTGCCTGGTCCCCTGTTGCCTGGTCCCCTGTTGTCTGGTCCCCTGTTGTCTGGTCCCCTGTTGATTGGTCCCCTGTTGCCCTGGTCCCCTGTTGCCTGGTCCCTGTTGCCTGGTCCCTGTTGATTGGTCCCCTGTTGCCTGTCCCCTGTTGCCTGGTCCCTGTTGCCTGGTCCCCTGTTGCCTGGTCCCTGTTTTGGTCCCCTGTTGCCTGGTCCCTGTTGCCTGGTCCCCTGTTGTCTGGTCCCCTGTTGCCTGGTCCCCTGTTGCCTGGTCCCCTGTTGCCTGGTCCCTGTTGCCTGGTCCCTGTTGCCTGGTCCTGTTGCTGGTCCTGTTGCCTGGTCCCCTGTTGCCTGGTCCCTGTTGACTGGTCCCCTGTTGCCTGGTCCCTGTTGTCTGGTCCCCTGTTGTCTGGTCCCCTGTTGCCTGGTCCCCTGTTGCCTGGTCCCCTGTTGCCTGGTCCCCTGTTGCCTGGTCCCCTGTTGCCTGGTCCCTGTTGCCTGGTCCCCTGTTGCCTGGTCCCTGTTGCCTGGTCCCCTGTTGTCTGGTCCCCTGTTGCCTGGTCCCCTGTTGCCTGGTCCCCTGTTGTCTGTCCCCTGTTGCCTGGTCCCCTGTTGCCTGGTCCCCTGTTGCCTGGTCCCCTGTTGCCTGGTCCCTGTTGCCTGGTCCTGTTGTTGGTCCCTGTTGCCTGGTCCCTGTTGCCTGGTCCTGTTGTCCTGGTCCCCTGTTGCCTGGTCCCCTGTTGCCTGGTCCCCTGTTGCCTGGTCCCCTGTTGCTGGTCCCTGTTGCCTGGTCCCCTGTTGCCTGGTCCCCTGTTGCCTGGTCCCCTGTTGCCTGGTCCCCTGTTGTGGTCCCTGTTGCTGGTCCCCTGGTCCCTGTTGCGGTCCCTGTTGCCTGGTCCCCTCCTGGTCCCCTGTTGCCTGGTCCCTGTTGCCTGGTCCCTCCCTGGTCCCCTGTTGCTGGTCCCCTGTTGCCTGGTCCCTGTTGTCTGGTCCCCTGTTGCCTGGTCCCCTGTTGATTGGTCCCCTGTTGCTGGTCCCCTGTTGCCTGGTCCCCTGTGTTGCCTGGTCCCCTGTTGCCTGGTCCCCGTTGCCTGGTCCCTGTGTTGGTCCCTGTTGCCTGGTCCCCTGTTGCTGGTCTGTTGCCTGGTCTGTTGCCTGGTCCCTGTTGCTGGTCCCTGCCTGGTCCCTGTTGCCTGGTCCCTGGTCGTGCTGGTCCCCTGTTGCGTCCCTGTTGCCTGGTCCCTGTTGCCTGGTCCCTGTTGCCTGGTCCCCTGTTGCCTGGTCCTGTGGTCCCTGTTGCCTGGTCCCTGTTGTCTGGTCCCTTGTCTGGTCCCTGTTGATTGGTCCCCTGTTGCCTGGTCTGTTGCTGGTCCCTGTTGTCTGGTCCCTGTTGATTGGTCCCTGTTTTGGTCCCGTTGTGGCCCTGTTGCCTGGTCCCTGTTGCCTGGTCCCCTGTTGCCTGGTCCCCTGTTGTCTGGTCCCCTGTTGTCTGGTCTCTGTTAGTCCTGTTGCCTGGTCCCTGTTGCCTGGTGTTACAGCAGGTATACTTCTGACGTCTGATTGGTTGATTCGCTATGGAGTTAAGTTTATTATCCAGTCCTGCGCTTCAATAGCTAAGGTGTTTGAGTGAGTATGTCAGTATGAACCAGCTACATTATACCTCATATGGCCTATTGTAAGTTAATATAAGAGCTACTATGTATAGGCTATATGTATCAGTAAACCATATAAACACATATAGCCTACATGAGTTAGTCTTTATGTGGTTCGATGTACACCCAGAGGCCGGGGGAGACAGTTCAACTCAGCAGACCCAGTGACACACAAACAACAGTAACTGGTGTCAGAACTCATTGAACACAACAGTAACTGGTGTACAAAACTCAGCAGACACAACAGTAACTGGTGTACAAACTCGGCAGACACAACAGTAACTGGTGTACAGAACTCAGCAGACACAACAGTAAGTGGTGTACAGAACTCAGCAGACACAACAGTAACTGGTGTGCAGAACTCAGCAGACACAACAGTAACGTTGTACAGAACTCAGCAGACACAACAGTAACTGGTGTACAGAACTCAGCAGACACAACAGTAACTGGTGTACAAAACTCAGCAGACACAACAGTAACTGGTGTACAGAACTCAGCAGACACAACAGTAACTGGTGTACAGAACTCAGCAGACACAACAGTAACTGGTGTACAGAACTCAGCGGACACAACAGTAACTGTGAAAACTCAGCAGACACAACAGTAAGTGGTGTACAGAACTCAGCAGACACAACAGTAACTGGTGTACAGAACTCAGCAGACACAACAGTAAGTGGTGTACAGAACTCACATAATGTACTCCACCTGGAAACCTTATCTTGTACAAATGTGTAAAAGACCAAGATAAACACGAGGCCGAGGAGGATCAGATCCCTGACGCCTCTCAGCACCGCGCCGATAAATATGTATCGTTCTGGCGTCTATGATTCCCCCGCCCAACCTTTCAGGCATCTATAAACATGTATTCCACTGATCCAGACGAGATGTTTACAGATTATACTTCTCTTAAACCTTTCTCATCCCATTCATTGCCAGAGTTTGAAGAAAGGTTGAGGTTTTGGGTGCATTTAAGCCGTTCTAGCGAGTATATATAGCGTCCTGTAGTGTGATATGAGGTTAGTTAATACCTGTACCTGAGGTTAGTTAGTGGCGGCGTGGTGCTCCTGCTGCCGGCGGCTCACACCTGCTGATGAACGATTTCATGGTTGCTCAGGAAGATGCATGGTCAATTTAGTTGAGAGAATGAGGTAGTTAAGGTCTCATAATTCTCCTATTAAAGATGGTTCACTATGGTAGAGCACTGGTGCTAACTGTGTGTGTGTGTGTGTGTGTGTGTGGTGTGTTTGTGTGTGTGTGTGATACAGATTCGCACCCTTGATCATTACATGGGTCTCCATAACACACACACACACACACACGCACACACACACACACACACACACACACACACACTAGACACGCAATTATGCAGGATAGAAAACAGGTGGGTGCCGACTCCTTGAAGTGGTGACTACATTATGGGGTATAGGAGGCAGGGACGGGGCGGAGGTGAGGGGAGGGGGAGGTATGAGGGAGGTGAGGAGGTATGAGGGAGGAGGTGTGAGGAGGAGGTAGAGGAGGAGGTGAGGGGAGGTATGAGGAGGTGAGGTAGAGGAGGTGAGGTGAGGGAGGTATGAGGTGAGGTGTGAGGAGGGAGGGGAGGAGGTGAGGTAGGGGGAGGTGGGGAGGAGGGAGGGGAGGTGAGGTATGAGGAGGAGGTGAGGGGGTATGAGGTGAGGAGGTGGGGAGGGAGGGAGGTATGAGGTGAGGTGTGAGGTGAGGGAGGGAGGTGAGGTAGGGAGGTGGGGAGGTGGGGGGGTATGAGGGGAGGGAGGTGAGGGGGGGGAGGTGAGGAGGTGTGAGGAGGTGAGGGAGGGAGGTGAGGAGGTGTGAGGGAGGAGGTATGGGGAGGAGGTGAGGGGGGAGGAGAGGTGAGGGAGGGGGAGGTATGAGGGGAGGAGTGAGGGACAGGGAGGAGAGGCCAATAGGGAGAGGGTAGTGGGAGGGAGAGAAGGAATTACACTATCACCACCACTGTCACACACACACACACACACACACACACTACACCAACCACCATCACCTTAACAACACCAATACTACCACCAAAATATAACATCAACCACAACTACAACCAACACCATCATCAACAATTAACCCTCACCATATCTAACCTAACCAACCCTGCCACCACTACAACAACAACAACCAACCATTAAACCAACCACCACAACCAACCATTACATCAACCACCACTACCACCATTACCAGCACTAACCCTGGGGTGAGGTTCCTTATCCCTGTGAGTCACTGTACAGTACGTCCAAGGAGCTCCACCCATGTGAATCACTGTCAAGATGTCAACCAACTGAGATCTAAACAAAAAAACACACACGGGAACATTTATTCAACTCAATATTTACGACAGATTAAAGAATAAACCCGATTCCGTGTATTAAAATATTCCTCTATACATTTAAGCTAAGAAAGGAAATTTTAACTTACAAACAGCGAAGATATGAGCCACGGCGTCCGCATAATAAGTAAAATATCAAGGTATAAAAAACCCCATCCTCAGATGTTTGGGACGACTGGCCAGCTGAGTCAGGACGATATCTAGGAGAGGCGAAAAAAACTCTATCTGTCAGTCATGTGTCGAGTTAGGGAGAGAAAGGGTGTCAATTGGTGGTGTAGGGAGGGAGGGAGGGAGAGAGGGGGGGGGAAAGGAAGGGAGAGGAGAGAAGGGAAGGACTGGGACAGAGGAAGTAGAAGAGTTAATTCCTGAAAGAGAGAGACAGAACAGGATGGTGTTATATATGAACGTTATGAGTGTTTTTGTCGTTGTTATTGGTGTATTTGTTGTTTATGTCATCATCAGTTATCTGTGTTATTGAAGCTGTTATTGTCGCAGCTGTATTTGGTGTTATTGTATTCTGTAGTTGTTATTGTTCATTCCTCCTCTTGTTATTGTTTCTCTTGTTTACCTACGTTTGTGATGTTATTGCTGTTATTTACTGACTGACTGACAGACTGATAGACTGATAGACTGACTGACTGACTGACAGACTGATAGACTGACTGACTCATAGACTGACTGACTGACTGGCTGACTAACTGACTCATAGACTGACTGACTGACTGACTAACTGACTCATAGACTGACTGACTGGCTGACTGACTGACTCATAGACTGACTGACTGACTCATAGACTGGCTGACTGACGGCCCTACGCTCACACGACGCTGCCAGGCATATGATCACCCCGTGGTAAGAAACTCTGACCAATTCTTGAACGCAATTTACCTTCAGTTCTTGACATTATCCAACTACTGTTTTTGTTCTGCACTTCTGACTGTTCTTGTTAAGGGATGTGTTTGTCGTACATGTGATGTTTTCTCTTGATGTGTCATATTTGAATTGTTTTTGTCGGATTTTCGAAGTTTTGTTGATATTTTGTTAATGTTGAAATTCTTGTTGTATTTTTGTTATTGATGTTGTGTTTATTTGTCAATGGAGATGTTGTTGTTGATGGTGGTGGTGGTGGTAGTGGTGGTGGTAGTGGTGGTGGTAGTGGTGGTGGTGGTAGTGGTGGTGGTAGTGGTGGTGGTACTGGTGGTGATGCGGGTGTGGTGTTGGTGGTGTAGTTTGAAGAAGATCACAACAAATCTTCAACACCACTACCATCACCACCATCAACCTAACCTAACCATTGAACCAGTTACCTTCACATGTTTATTGGAACGAGGGGCCTGCAGGTGCCCAGCTAAGTGTTATGACAGCTACTCCACCACCGTAGCCTAAATATGTACATGTGTCACAGCTGGTGAGGTCGTTGTGGCCTTGTTCAGTCAGCGTGGTGGTGGAGGAGGGTGATTGTGGTAGAGGAGGGTTATTGTGGTGGAGGAGGGTTATTGTGATGGAGGAGGGTGATTGTGGTGGAGGAGGGCGATTGTGGTGGAGGAGGGTTATTGTGGTGGAGGAGGGTTATTGTGGTGGAGGAGGGTGATTGTGGTGGAGGAGGGTTATTGTGGTGGAGGAGGGTGATTGTGGTGGAGGAGGGTGATTGTGGTAGAGGAGAGTGATTGTGGTGGAGGAGGGTTATTGTGGTGGAGGAGGGGTGATTGTGGTGGAGGAGGGTTATTGTGGTAGAGGAGGGTGATTGTGGAGAGGAGGTGATTGTGGTGGAGGAGGGTTATTGTGGTGGAGGAGGGTGATTGTGGTGGAGGAGGGTGATTGTGGTAGAGGAGAGTGATTGTGGTGGAGGAGGGTTATTGTGGTGGAGGAGGGTTATTGTGGTGGAGCAGGGTGATTGTGGTGGTGATTGTGGTGGTGGTGATTGTGGTGGTGATTGTGGTGGTGGTGATTGTGGTGGTGATTGTGGTGGTGGTGGCAGTAGCCTACATGGTGAGACGTAGTGTCTACTGTATGTTAAATAAGACAAACAGTTTATATTAGATCTGAATAAATATAGATAATAATATATAAAAACTTAACAATGATTAAAATAGGGAAATAATTATTAAATTTAATATTTCGAGGTTTTGAAATATTTCTAATCCAAGAAATCTTGATAAAAACTTTGATATAAATAGCAAGTTTACTAAATAGAAAGTTAACTACACGTCATCACTGTTCAATAATGTAGCAATGTCTTAAACTACACTAAATTACACTACATTAAATATCTCCTAACATCTCTCACACTCCATAGATATTTCCCATCAGTCTATAACATGTGACTGTCTCCCTGCGCACTCTGGTCGACCCACAACGCAACAACACACACTTGTTGATGTACCCGACTTGGCGATGAGTCTAGTTAACTTGGTAATACATCCATCAGCATCACCACCATCATCAAGTGCACCACAACATCACCATAATAAAGCCATTACAGTGTTTGTTTACGTCTTGGCGTCTGCTCCACAACTGACACTCAAATATACACCTTTTAGCGCATCCTAACGTATCCTAACATAATCCTAACGCATCCTAACATAATCCTAACGTATCCTAACATAATCCTAACGTATCCTAACATAATCCTAACGTATCCTAACATAATCCTAACGTATCCTAACATAATCCTAACGTATCCTAACATAATCCTAACGTATCCTAACATAATCCTAACGTATCCTAACATAATCCTAACGTATCCTAACATAATCTAACTTACAAAATCCTAATCGATAGAACAGTTTTGCTCCTCAGGTGACTCGTGTAAGAGGCAAGGGTAGCAAGACGATTAGCTGTACCTGGTAAGTGAACCCAGATGATGTTTTTACAGCGGGGAGAACTAGTCAGTGAAGGCAGGGTACTGGGGCTGCCTCACATCGTTAATTATCGTGTCTCGGGTAATATTCACTTCCCTGCCATACTGTATAACTTAAAACCTTGAGTCCCAGACGAGCGAGAGACCAATATATACTGTCGTTGTCTTGTTTATATGTAGAAATATAATATCAAGAAGTAGACGATTATGTAAACTGGTCATTATGTAAGGTAGTTTAGATGAATTCTGTATTAAATTATCTCGTTAATATTTGGGTATGAACAACCTAGTTATTGTAGAAATAAAAATATGGCGCGTGGGAGGAGCGGCTCAGAGCTAAGTGGTAAATCTTTTAAAAACTT